CACAATAACTGTGATGTTAAATATCCAATGCAAAATGCATATCTTCGATTTTTGAGTTATAACGCCGGATTCCACAAATGCAATTATTCCTAGGACGAGTAAGATCCCACCAATCATCTGCATATTCGTTTAGGGAAGGTGAAGAGACGAACCACAAATAGGAAGTTCGTGACAGAAAGAACATATTTCACCCATCTGTTCACGTAGTTGAATTTGCCGGCGTTTCGCCTATGGTAAAAATGGCGAGACATCGCGTAGGAAAACTCCGAGCATCCGGCCTCTGTCAGAAACTCACGGAAGCGGCCAACGGCCGACTGTGACCGTTTGGGGTGCCTACTCCGGTGGCTCAAACCCGATGTTTATAGCAACACCACTTTAGCGATTTCATGGCCAAACAGGCCATTGGCCATGATAGACGTGAATGATCTGTAAGTTCTCGTTCATACCATCAGCTTCCAGAATAGTACGGCAAAGCTCGCTTGGAATTTTGGTGAACATTATACAGCAGCAAAAAACTGCAGTGCTTGGGGATAGGTCCTAAGCTTTCGGCAAGTTTGCCTGAGATAAGAGCATAAGATTCATCCAGAAATCAAAGATAGTCAAATGGGTAACTCTTTGTAAGAATATTAGACTTACGGAGCTTAGGCAAAGTTTTGCGATACTGAACAGAAATTAAGAAGGCAAATGCGACAAGTCCCGCAAACGGCTGACGACCAAAAAATAAGGCAATTAGAATATCAATCAACCTGTCTTGTCCTACATCTGATTTGGGAACCTTCCGGTTGTCGACCATACCACACCTCTACGAGCACTTTAAGGAGCCAACATAGCCTGACTCTCAGTCCACCAGTCGGCCGTTGCGCGCAAACGCACATCTGGGCTGGCAGCGCGGTCTGAGTTAAGGCGTTATTTGACAGTCCTCAAAGCGATGACTTTTGGCACACCGTCATAGTCTCTATTGCGTCAGATTGTTTGTGGGGAGGAAGTATGCGCTAAGATTCGAACTGGCTCACTTTACTCTATCCAGCACGTAATTCAACTGTCCGAACGAGTTAACCAGCTGATGCTGAGGTTGACGGAGATGGCTTCCAGCACTCAGAACAGCTCGTCTATGCGTGCCACACGCGACCTGCTCCTCAAAGGTACGCACGGGGATTCTGAACACAAGGAGCTAGACGGCTCAGACCCAACGTGTGGCAGAGGACAACACTTCTAATTTACGTGAGAATTGTCGATATAGTGACATGTTGGATGTGACCATGTGTAGTGGATGTGTTAATGGCAGAATGTGTGGCGATTTGGCCACATCTGCGCCAACTTACCGGAGGTTTTCGCGAAACCGCATGTGACTAAATAGGTCCATGCGATGGTTGAGTGTGTGAGGACAATGCGAGCAATCAAGTCGCTGGCATTTAATGCAAACTGGTGCTGCAGGCATTAGTTTGCAATGTTCTGTACGATGGATTCACCAGAGACCAAGCGGGTCGATATGTGAGTCTAACGCGCGGTGACAGTGTACTCAGGATAGGTTAGGAACGCTAAGTCAGTTGCCGTTGTGGTGATATGAGGGGAAGGTCCGCTGGTGGATGGGGAATTATTTGATGCGCAAGATATAAGGATATTGCAGTGAATTCCATTTCTGTTGGTACGCACGTGACCCAATAGGTCCGTGTGTGAACAAAGTGGACAGTGAAGACGGATGCGGCAACTGTATGTAGGGGGTTTCTGGCACATGTACACCGGTTGCAGCGTGGTAAATTGGTAAGTGGCCGAAAGGGCCTTTGCGTGAGGGAAATATGCGGCTACAATGAGGACGGGTTGGGACCGCATCTGCATCGCTGGAGGTGGGGGCTGTGATGGTGAATATGGCGTTCGACAGGACGTTGTGAGCGTTTCGGCTGATAGCAGAGATTGTAGAAGTGGTTGTGGTTGTTGTCGTCGCGGAGGTTGCGGCAACAATGAATGTTGTAGTAATGAGTATGGGCGTCGACGACGCTGTGGAAGTTGCAGCAGGACAGTGGGGAGGCAGCAGTTGGGGTTGTGAGGCTGATGGTGCAATTGGTCCAGAGATGTTCGGCTGATTCGCGCACAGAATGTTCGTTGACTGTGCGGGCATATCGAGTGGGTTAGGAGGTTGGCATTGCGGATATGGGGCGCCTGAGACTTGCAAATATCTCTTTTGATTTTGCCAGCTGCGATTCCGTTGCATTTATTGATTATTATTATTACAGTCTTCACCGTTCTTTTCCAGGCCGGATGGTTCAGTGCGAAGTATTTCAGGTTTTCAGGCTTATTTGTAAGCGTCTTAAGGGATTTACCAATGTGTTATGATAGCGTCGAGTTTGGCTATCTTGTCGGCGAAATCACCATTGAAGTGTTATTTTGGTAGTCGCCAACCCTTCATCATCACGAGATTGCCGCTTTAGTTTAATTTCAATTGCCTCAGCTTGGCGCGGATGCCGAGGACTCCAGTCCGTCTCAAAACTTTTGTACGGGGGATCCTGTCCGGCCACCTCACGATTAATATTCTTTAAAGACATAGGAAGTGGAAGTCATTGGGTCTCCGCGCTTGTATCTTCTAGACTTTCAGGTGTTCGCACCATACAGCAGCGTAGTCAAGATGCCCGCTTATAAATCTTCCGTTTGGTATTAACGTGAAGACCGTGGCGATGACATGCTACGTTTTACAGCCGGTCAAATCGGTCATTTGCGATTTCACCATACTGAGATTTTTGAACTTTTGTCAGGCGCACCAACATACATTCAGCCTTATTGAAAATGTTACCTGCGAATTATAGACTTAATAACAAAGCTACTGTCGATGAATACCGATTATTCAGTCTACAAAAGATAGATGGAACAACCCTCCCCCTAAACGAGAATTTGCATGAAAGAACAGATTACTTACCGAGGCACATGGGAAGCAACAATTTATACATTTGCGGCTCATTGTGATAAAATATCCATTGATATGTTATACACAGTGTGCCAGGCCAAAGTTCAGATTCTGATTAAACAATTATGGGATTAGGTGGTTACATGGCCAAACACCACATGGCAATTTCTAACAGAGAATGAATTTGCCTGTGATAGAGTGCAATAAGCTAGCAGTTGGAGACTGCTCAGTTGTCTGATGTTAGACTCTGTAATAGAAACATGAAGTTTTCGCTCGCAGATTATTAAATATTGGACGCTTCTCGTCTTCTCTTGTGGCCTCAGTAATGCCGACAACTATGGACTTCTGCACTGATTGCAATGAGTATGATAATTATGATAAAGATAACTTTATTTAATGCCAGTTTACAGGCATTGTCAAGGGAAGAGTGAAACACAAATCCGATCAGCAGTGAAAAAACTCCTGAGGTAAAGGAATAATAATAATTTATTTAATGCCAGTTTACAGGAATTGTCAAGGGAAGCGATCAAACACAAATCCGACCAGCAGTAAAAAAAAAACTCCTGAGGTAAAGAAATAAAAATATAGTTGATGGTGGTTTTTATGGTTTGGAGGGTTCAAGAGAAAAAACTGCTGGTGGTAGATTTTCGACCGCCAAGAAGGGTGAGGAGGGGGGATTGCACGGTATCGGAGATTATCAGACGTAAATCCCTTTCATAAAGTTGGGGATAGTCAAAGTAGGGACGTTGAGGAACAGCTGTTGACACCGGCCATAGTGTTAAGAGACCACAAACGCCATCGCTACGGTACAGTCGATCAGTGGATTCAGCACCCAAAATTTGTGGGAGCTTTTCTGAATGCAAAAATCGAGTAATAGTCCTCTTAAATAAAGGATAATTTTGCAGAGTTTTCACACTCATGGGTAGTTTATTCCAAATAGCAATTGCATTTACAGAATAGAACCGACGATATTTAAGAGTACGTGCCAAAGGCAGAAATAAAAAGACCTCACGGTGACTGTTACGTCGGGGGTGTACATGATGTCTTAAAGAGGTGATTGGGTTAAATGTGTGATTATATAAGAGTTTAAAAAACAAAAACAGTCCCTTTTGTAATCTACGGAACCATAAGTGATCAAGGCCTGTAAGCCGGCAACGTTCTTGGTAAGACAAATGTCGGTGTTCCGGGGTTAAAACTCTCTTTGTAAAAAAGTGTTGAACGGATTCTATTTTCTTCCGCTCAGTAGCAGGCATGAGGCTAAATAAAAACGAACAGTATTTCAGGCCAGGGCTAACGTACATGTTGTAAAGGCGCATTCTGATGTCCCTAGTTTTAAAATTTCGGAGGATAAACACGGTCGTCTTACGTGTTTTGGAGACTATCAAGGCACAGTGCTCCGAGAGATTGAGACTCTTGGAGTATGATACGCCCAGATTCTTAAGAACTCCAGGCACATTTATGGCGTGAACTTCAATACTTAGTTGAGGTTGGCGGTCGTCGCCAACCACCATGACTGAGCACTTATGCCAAGAAAGAGAAAAGCACCATGTGCGGCACCACTGGGCGAAAGCCTGCAGATCGCTCTTTAGGAGCTCGAGCACAATGTCATGATCTGCCGGCTTATATCGATATGCAACTTTAAGATCATCGGCATACATGAAAGGCTTACCATTCTGAAATAATTCGGGTACATCATTAACGAAAAGGCAAAATAAAAGCGGGCCGAGTACACTACCCTGAATGACTCCACTCCTCACATATGTGGGATTAGAGATGGCACTGGAAATCTTAACTCGTTGTGTACGAGTGCCCAGGTAAGAGGATATAAAATTCAAAAGTTTGCCACCTATTCCGAAAGAGGACAGTTGCAAGAGAAGAAGATCATGGTCAACACGATCGAAAGCCATAGTGAAATCGAAAGATACTGTGTAAAGTGCAAAACTATTGTCCCTGGATTGTAGAACATAGTCAAAGAAGGATAGCTGACAGGTGGCACAAGGCCGAGCTTTGAGAAATCCATGCTGCGCCGCACTCAGTAGGTTATTCTCTGTTAAGTGACACATCATCTTCTTTTTGATCAATGTCTCTAAGATCTTCGAAACTGCGGGGATGGTGTTTATTGGCCGAAAGTAATCAAATGACGTGGATTTGCCGCGCTTAGGAATGGGCATTATGTATGATTCCTTCCACAAGGAAGGATAAGTTTCACTTTCAAGAGCAACATTAAATATCCTGCATAAGAGGGATGGGAAGATCGTATTTGCATCGACTTTTAAAATGCTTACTGGGACACCATCAGGGCCCTGACTATAAGACTGACGAAAACGCCGAATCGCAATAGTCACATCCCACAGAGTGAAAGTTATGGTTTCTACGACTGCCCCAGTCAATGCCTGGATGGTCGGAAGCGGAGTGGTCGAGTCTTCAATAAACGTTTTGGACAGGAAATCATTAAAGCTGTCAGCGGTTAACCGGGCATCAACTATGGGATTTCCGAGAGCGTCTCGGAGGGCGGGATGCTCCGTCTTTCTATGAGTTCGTATTTTTCTAGAGAAAAGTTTCGAGACACTTAACGAATGGTTTTCGGTAAACTGGACCTCTTCGGCTCGCTGTTTTTCTTCAGACAATCTCTTAGCCCGCCCAAAAATATCACAATCATGGGCACGACAGAAACGTCGTTCTGAAGATGGAATCGATGATAAGTCTGCGCAATCTGCGACGAAAGTATAAGGGTTGAAAAACCTCATGGCCGACATTATTAATTTTCTTACGGAGGACAAAACGAGAAATAAGCGTATCCAAAATTTCGTACAGATTTGCAGTGCAAACATTTACATCCGAACTAGGGAAGAAATCAGTTCAGTCGTAGGAATTAAGGTGTGTTAATAATTCGGTTGAGCGAGTTAATCGGTAATCGCGGAAAATGTTATACTTTTGGGACAGCGTTTTGTCAGCCTGGAATTCCAGCGTTGAAACAACTATGTCATGGTCTAAGCCCCCCAGTGGGCCTAGGGATGACACTGACGATGGCATGCAGCCTCTACAGAAACTTAGGTCAAGTATGCTTGAGTCTCGGGTGGGAAAATCGACAACCTGAGTCCACATCCCAACATCCACAGCCTCAAGAAAGTCTTTGAACTTTCAGGGGCCTGAGGGCGGAGACCAGCGGACTTCGGGAGATTAAAGTCACCCGCAACCAATTGATACTTAAAGCTTGAGTCGGCCGCAGCCTGTGAGAGTAAACGATCAAAACTGTCGTTGACGTTGGGAGGGCGATAGACGCAACCAACGAGTAAAGATAACTTATTTTTTAGGGCAACCTGGGGCCAGCAGTTGCCTTCTTCTGTGGAAAAATGCGGGAGGTTAAGCGGCAAAAATGTAAGTGTTTGCTTCACGTAGACGCGACTGCACCCCCCATGGCGATCTTGGCGATCATTTTGAATGCACTTATAGCCTAGAAGAGAGAGTTCGAAGTCAGCTACTGAGGCTGATGCCCACGTCTCAGTTACTAAAACAATATCCGGACGATGGACGAACACCACAGTCTGAAGCAAAGGCATCTTATTAAGCAAGCATCTGGCATTTAAAACAAAAAGCTTGAAGGGAAAGACTATTAGTTTCTGATGGAGGTGGGCTACATCGTCCCGTTCAGGGCTGCCCACGGAGCAAACGGTCCGGATGTAACCATCCGGTTCGGCAAAAAATTTTGTGACATCAAAAAATTCCGACGTGGATAATAAGGGGTAGGATTTGGGGAGGAAATGACGGGCAGATAGACTGACAACCATTGAGAGCTAACTCATTTTCGGCTGGAAATCCACGGGCCAGATACTGCAGCACATTCCCACCGGAACGAAACTGAGGATCGGATGAGTTAACTGATCCAGTATGGACACTAGCATGAGGAATACATTGGTATAACGGTCATGGTGGAAACAAGTTAGGGGGTGGGGGACGCATTGCTTCCATTGGAGCAAGAGCTTTACTAAACGGCGGGAAAATCGGCATATTCGGCCTAACTGCCTCGATATGAGGGCTGGGGGGCATTTGCGAACACGCTACGTTTTGAGTCGGGGTATTTGAGGCACTGTGAGCCGATTGTGGAGGAAAAGATTTTATAATGGTGCTGGATTTTTCGGCTGTCCGAGTGGCTGAGACAGCAATTGGATTTGCCTTTGACTTAGACACATGCTTAGGCTTACTAGGGGTTGCTGGGGGAGTCGATAGAGGCGTGTTTATACCAGGCGTGATGGTGTGTTTAAAGAGCTAAGCATTAAAAGTAGTCAAATTCCCTACGGAATTGTCTGTGCCGTGATGTGCAGATGGTGTTGTAGAGGACTTATTCATACTGACAGTAGGCGTCATTATCTTGGTGTTGGTTTTTGCCGATTTTAGTTTATTCAGTCTTCGCTGCAGGGGTGTGAGGTCTGGCGAAACGGAGCAGCGCCATTTACAGCAGAATTCTTTCGTTATCTCCCTACTCGACAAGATAAAATCGACTTCTATCATGGAGAAAAGGGTAACTAGTATCGGTGCATTACGGCTAAGCGAACGAAGTCGCTTAGCTTATGCGACACTGAAACTCAAGCCACAACTTTGTAGGAACAAATGCGCTCCATCCATAGCAGATAAGTGGTTCGGAATGTATCGCAGTACGAATTTATGCTTGCGTTTAATTCTTTCCTCAGTTTCCGAACTGATTACCCCAATAAGTTTAAAAGCTCGTTCAATTACTTTTTCAGAAGTGCTGTTTGTGTCGCCATAAATCAACTGATCAAGTATTTCGTCAGCTGATGTCCTGCTACGACTAGCAGAGGCGTATTTTTGGACGACTGAAGGGTCAAGATGTTCTACATGTACTAAAGGGATTTGTGAGTTAATCAGATCTGCAGACGACGAAGAACATAGGCTGGCACCTGCAATGTCTTCAGTCTTGATTTTAGCACCCAGAGACGGTGGTGAGGCCGCAAGCTTTCGCCTTTTAACACGTGCTCTGCGGGGCATTACAGACAAGATAAGTTTTTCGTTACAGTAAAAGGAGCAAAGCGTTGCTAACGTACAGAAAAATGCACTGAATAGCAAGTACTACTGTTATTTTACTACGAAAACTAGAAAAAGATAGTCGGGAAGGGAGTCACTACAGAGGTTTTTTTTTACAAAATACGACTATTTTGCCAGACTGTCAAACAAAACTGGGAAAAATTATACCTTGTTTTGAAAGGTGACTTTTAGAAGGGACTCAAATAAAAAACATGCATAAATTGCTTAAGAATATCCAAGCAAATGCAAAGCTTCACTCATCTTTGAAATTGAACTGTGCGCCTTGACCTTTCGCCATGTTCATAGGGAATTACTTCTCATACACCAAGCAGGTAGATAAAAACATTCAGCCTGATTGACTGTGACAGAAAGTTGATGTCATGTAGAAGACGCTGTTCGACTAGTACAGGACCGGTGGAATCGTAATGGATCTCGCACAGCCTATAAACTGGCGTTGCTGGATGTTTTGCTACTTGACGCACCCACAAACGTAACGACTTGCGACAACGGGACCAACTTAATTCAGTATAATTCAGTATATATGAGGGATAGAGGCAGAGCCTTGGAAAACCATACTTACAGAAAGACGTATGAATAAAACATGCAGATATTTAAATGGCAGTTATGACAGTCATTAATATCATGTAAATGTTTGACCAGGAATTGTGCTTACGAAGTGACCATGGTGAAACTCAAAGGGGGAAGCATCCATCCAAATAAGGTCGTGGTGTCTTTTGATGTTACATCCCTTTTTACTTCTATTCCCCAGGACCTGGCGATCGAGACAATTGAGCTGCTACTACAAAGCAAATACGATGAAACGGAGAACCGGCTTGGACACGCCCAAATCCTTCAGCTACTGAAGCTCTGTCTCAGGACGTACTTCACGTTCAACGGGACAATCTACGAACAGGTGAAGGGCACACCAATGGGTTCGCCGATTTCGGGGTTCATCGCCGAGGCAGTCCTGCAACGGTTAGAGTCGCTGGTCTTCCAACAGCACAGACCGAAATTCTGGGCCCGTTATGTGGATGATACCTTCGTCGTCATCGAACGGGATCAGGTGTTGACATTCCGAGAACAGAGACCCAATCTGTAAAAGATTTAGGTCTCAGCTATACAAATACCCTCGATTTATCTCCCCACGTCCAACAAATATCACCGAAAGCCACTCGCCTGTGTGGATTCATATGTAAAAATTTCACCTTAAATGCACTAAGA